TTAATCGGGATCCAAGCCTGGGCCTGTACATTTAGCGCGTGGGCTAACCACTAAACCACCAGGGCTGCGTAACTCTCCTTATTTTTGCTTTTATGGCCCATTTACCCCAGCTTAAACTGACATAAAGGTGGGCTCTCAACAAATTTGCCCCAATGGTGTCATGTTCATGCGCAGCGGCTAATGAAGTACAAAACCCGGTTCAAGTCTTCGCTGGGGCAATGTGCATACAGCCGATGTCAAACTCTGCGAATCGCCCGATTCGCAAAGTCTGACATCGGCTTATAGCTTTGCATCGTTGTGATCAATAAATCGTTATTCGTATTTGACATGATCTTTAATTTATTATGATTAATTACAGGTAATTTTATGTTCAATATAGTTTGGTCCAAAGGATTAAGTAAGAAAGGAAAAGTGGGTAGCAAGTGAAAGAGAGGGAACAGAAAGTAGAAAGTAAGGAGGCAAAGTGATCTTTCAAAGATTTAGCTGGACAAAATGACTGTGTGATTGACAAGGCTCGTCGGAATTGGTGTCCGTCGTGTCGGTTGGCGAAATGTTTTCGCCTAAATATGAACTCAAAAGGTGACGTCATTCGAACTTTCATTGTCGAGGGAATATTTCCAGATTTCAGTTCATTTTAGCTGTGCAGGGAGAGCGAGGTCCGCGATCCGCACCATCAGTTCTACTTCCAGGATCTGCTTCAAAGAGGAACAAACTACAAGGTTCCTCTTGTGGATTATTTTGTGATGACTATGGGGGTTTATTACAAAGGATTCAACTAAACCACTAAAAAATTCCAGGATCAAAGAAAGGACACGCTAAGGAGCACACAACTCCCACTGGCTTCTCCATTGATGATCTATTCGTGGCGGCCATGTTCGCTGTGAGCCAATCGGTGCTGCTCTCCTTCAGTAGTAGCGAAGAACGACGAGCGCTACTCACAGAGAAGTACCCGACGTTTTTCGCTTTGGCCATTGCCAGCGCCGATGCGAAAACCAGCGCTATCGTGAGTGACAGGACAGATCTTCACTCTACCTTTCAACAATTTCTAGTATTTAACTATTATATTGTAACTCTATTATAACTAGAGCCATATGAGACGTGTTGGATTGTCTACTTCTTTTTTGAATATCGTTGGACTCAATCAGGAAGTACATAGATATGTGCAGCCCAGCAGCAACATAAAGGATAAAGGAGGATAAAGCATTTGCCGTTGATCAATCCCTTTTTGGGATGCGGCACGCATTCTACTTCCATTTGTACATTCGTAGTGGCGTTTGAATGCGATGTGGCCTATACAATGACTTGCGGGGGCCAGCCGATGTTCAAGTCAGTGTTTTTATCCTCCCAGACAAGTCTGGTACCAATTAACCGACCCCGGAGGGATGGAAGGCTTGGTTGGCCCGGGCGACTCACGACCCAGGATTTGATCCCCGGACCGCTCGCGTGGTAAGCGTGCCACTTGCCACTACACCACTTCCGCCCAGGGTATAAACTATTTAATTTTAATGGCCGCGTACCTCACTGTTCGTGTAATTTTGCCTTGACGATACCAAACTTCCATCTTTTTTCTTATCAAGTTCACGTCTAATTCGAACAATGAAAGGATAAAGGATTAAGCATTGTCGATCAGTCACATTTTGGGACGCGCCGTGCATTTTACTTCCACTCTAAATCTTAACGGCAATTGAATGCGACTAGACCCATGCACTGACTTGCTGGGGCGGGCCAAGGCATAATTAAGAAGTCATGGTGTTTTAATCACTCAGCAGATCTGATGCCAACTGAATTACTCCGTCAGGATACGCGCAAATCTGGTGTCGTGGCTTGATGACATGCGATCCAGGATTTGATCTCCATATAATGCACATGGGAATTACCTTAGTTGCACTACTCACCTCTGCCGCAAGCCTGAAGATTAATGGAATGACTAGAGCCTGATTGAACACCCAAAAACGGCTTGGTCTAGACCGTAGAACCTTACGTTGAGCTACTGGTGAATTTAGTTTTTCAAAATTGAAGTGGATCTTGTTTTGATAGATTGTTAAATCGAGTGCTATTTACATCTGCTTCCCTACTGACAACTCATAAGTAACTTCGTAGTGGCGAACACGAAGGGGATGCATAAGTTCTCCCCCTCAATGCCGTTTCAATGTCTTCGGTGGCTGTTGATGTTTCGTCCAGAAATCACGTGATTTGTGGTCAGGCCAGGGACAATTCGGGGGGATGGGGAGAGCTGGAGTCAACCGCGCGCTGCGCAGTCAGAGTGGAGTTTTTTGGTCGAGGGGTCGGCGGTATCGTAGCGGCTTTCAGTGGCGCTTGCGACGGTCAAAGGTTGGAAAAAGGGGAGGGGCGTATTGTTGGAATTGTAGGGAGGTGCGTTTGCCGGTTTTGTCAGGTGTTTTTTTACAATTTGATGGAAGAAGGTTCGGAAATATGCAAGCATTGAAGTGGTCTCCAAAATTTCTGGCGGCGTCGAGGCAACTTCCTTCAAGCAAATTCCTTTATTCTCCTCCCCCCCCCCCCTAATGCCTTCAATGTTTTCGTTCCTGTCTGAATTTTTCTCCTGAAACCATTAATTTGTTCAGCCAGGAATTCGGCATGGGAGCAGGGTCAGAGGGTTGGTCGTAACTTCCAGCAATTAGATCAACAAAGCGTTTACCTTGAACGGGAGCATATTTCGGGTAGTCCGTAGGTGAAGGTACCATCTCTCAAAATTATAATGTTCGAAGCCCCTTCACAGGTGCTCGGGCGCCTAACGAATAAGAAACCTTTCTCCCTCTTCCTGGTGTTTACTTCTAGGCATTAATTTGATTAATAGCTCCGTTGTAGTCGGCTTGATGTATAGCTGTTGTTCCACGGGAATATTTTCTGATGAGAGCATTTATCTTTCCTGATCGGGATTTACATGTACTAGGACTGGGAAAAAGGCCGCTGAAGAAAAACGGGGAAACATTCGCTGTGAGCCGTATCTGTGTTCCATCTTACCAACAAAAAACCCTAATAAATCACGTTCCCGGGTGATTCATAGTGACGGCGGTGGGAGTGCAGATGGACGCGGAGAAGAAATTTTCAAACAACAAAGCACCTTCGGAATGAAAACAGGCTACCGCGCCTGAAAAAATCAAGAGCTCTGCAGTATTCAAAGCCCGAACCCTGGCCAACTCAGCGCCAGTGCTTCGAAGCGCTGCCTGCATTGAATACGAGGTCGATAGCTTGCTGGATCGGCTTGTTTCATGACTAGTTAATTGTGCCCGCACAACAGCTGTCGATGCATCCAGGAAATAGGCGAAAGGGTGAAATTCTCACAGAACTTCTAGTCACGCAATCTTCTGGCCTCGCTTGAATGCACATACTGGCTATGGGAAAATACTTTATCAGGGGTCATTTGTTCCTACCGCCACTAGAGAGTTTGTACACTGGAAAAGATACCGAAAAATTCCATCCTGAAGTCATTGGTGCTTCACTCATGCCTGTGAAGGATGCGCCTTGTGGCTGATATATCGGTCAGTTTGGAAGTGACAGTATAATTCCTCTGGGGTTCACCAATGGATCAATTTAGATTATAGAAACACACGCGCCTCTAATATCTATCATAAATATACACTCAAATGAACTATTAACACATGTGAGTTAAGATGTGCGCCATGCATGCCGGCTGACGTTGGAAAAACCCTTGAACATAGATTCGCATTCTCAGAAGTGTCAGACCCGTGCATTACCGCAAAGTCACTGCTAAGCGTCGAGATTATCATGAAGTGATAGCTTCCATCATGTCCCAATAGTCTTAGACATGAATACATAATCTAATTCCTCCAAGCGCTCCGTATCGAAAATCAAAGTGCTCTCTTCTACGGGCAGAATCATGCGGACCCGCCTATCTCGCCTCGGAAGAAGAATCAATCTATGGCGTTATGAAAATCGTTCGAATATACAACTGAGAAAGTAGATGTTAGACAAAACATTGATTCTCAGGTTTCAAATCCGCAAGAAGACAATGGTGAAGAAGATATAGGGGGAACCACTGCCTTCTTTCCACCTAATGTAAAAATGCGCATACGCTATTATAAACTACTATTAAAAATCAGTAATTATAAGTGTTTTAAAACGTGTTTCAGCGTAACTGTAATGAGATCAATTGATATAGTGTGCATATATTCACAACCTTAAGGCAAGTAGAATGAGTGATACTCTAGTACGGAAGAGGAGGAAGAGAGGGATAAACTCGCCTGATGCTTCTTCCAATTACTAAGGATAAAGGATATAGGGTTTTTTCATGACAGGAAATAGTTTCAATTCAAAATTAACTTCTGATAGGGACAGGGGTGGACCGGTGGTATTGGTGCTTTGCAGATTTAGGCGCTTAAGGTGGTTGTGGTCTTAAGGAAATGGTCGCTGAACTGGGGTAATTCCATCTTATTTACCTCCAGTCTATTGTTGAGAATTAAAGCAAGTACATGGGGGGGGGGGGGTGGGGCGGAGGCGGGTATGGACATCCGTTTTCCAGGCGCAAGGGTGTAGGGGAGCCCACGGTGAACGACCACATGCCATAAATGCCCCAAGATGTGAACAGGATTTGCGTGATCTGGGACATACACCGGCTCTTATCAAAAGCGCACTTGAACTAAGTCGTTTGTTTTTGTCTTATCCACAGGTAAGTCAAGGGAGTGCACTTTGTATTATCGGATAAGATAAACGAAGAGCGTCCTCCCCCTAACTGGAGTTTTCATCTGGGTTCAAAATTCATGATCCATAAGCAGATGAAAGGCTCGGGTGTCAATCTATGCGGGCTTGATACTAGTAATTGTTGCGGCACTGTCCCTCACACACTCAACCTTCCGCTCACATCCAATTATGCCTCATTGAAATAATGAGCATGAGTCACGTTAAACTTGTTGGACAGAGTGTTCTGATACTTGACGATGAATAAAAAAATAAGGTGATCCCAAAATGAGGAATGGGTTATCCCCTCACTTATATTAGAGTCCCTTCCCATCTATACGGACGTATTTCAACGTACAACATATCAATGCTACTGAAAATATTTCAGTTGAAGTCATGGAGGGAAAATTGCCTTTAGATAACTTTCTTTAGAAACTTTATGAATGATGAGATAAAATATAAAGAAAATGGTGAGACATTTTGACACTCAACTGGGGGTTCTCAATGTGAACGCGTTTCAGGTGCAATCGCAGTTTTCCAGTCATCTCGAATTGAACTCGGAAGAGTTTCGTCTTTCAATCTGTGTTCTTCTTTGCAAAATGGGTGAGTTTCTGTTGCTCAGATCCCCGTGGGAAGAGTTCCCCACGGCCCAAATGGTGCCGCTGAGCAGTTGGCGCTAGTGTTGCTTCTGCTGCTTTCAGGCTCTTCGATCTCGTCCCTTTCGTTCGCTCCGCCTCTGCTTCCAATCTATACGCATTGGCTTCGTGTCCATTGCACTTCATTCTCACGACCTTCTCGAGCTACTGAGATCCTCGAACTCATCGACGACGTCTGGCTGAATCACGACCTTCATTTCGATCACCTCCTCTCCACTGCTCCTTCCGTCCTCATCGATCAAGTCTTTTCTATTTAGCCATACCATACTTCTTCAATAAACATTCCTTACCATAATCAGCTGTTTTCAATCGATATACTGATCCTAATCGATAACAACAGTAAGGGATTCCTGAAGGGCGCTAGCGAATGTGTCCATCGCCCACCCCCGCGGTGTATTCTCGGCTGTCGGCCTCTTCCGACTTTACACCGCCAGTCACGTCGTGCCTGTTCCGCTGAATTCTGCTGTCCTTTCTTTTGTGGTTGATTTGTTTGTGATTTTTCAAAACCCCCGTGCCAAAATACCGATAGACCAATAATCATGACCCGTCCTCATAGGGCTGGTCCAGATCATCAGCTTAGCGCAAGCCAATTCCCGAGTGGGAAAAAGTAACCCTATTGGCCAACACGAGGTCAGTTTTTGTTACGGACACGCATGAACCTGCGCGACGACTGGGTGACCTCATATTGTCGTCCCATCCGGGTGGCGCCCCTCACGGCCTGTCCACCGACCTCCTCCACCTCAACCCCCGCACATACCGCTGTTCCGTCTTGTTCCCACTAGCCGTGTGTAAATACGCTCGATCGATCGACTCAGGCCTTATCTCGGCACTGATTACTCTCTAATAGTTTATCGATCGATTATCAGAATGCTGAACGAATTGCACGGAATTTCAGGAAATTTTTGAAGTTTAACATTT